CTGTCAAGSTCACACATGGCAGATGAGGCCAGGWCAGGGCTGACTGATCCAACCAGGGAGGATAAGACAAGCCACTTTTAGATTTAGGCAAGGCATTATTTACTAAAGAGCAAAAAGAACAACCAGTCCAAGGAGCCAGCTCCCTGTGAACYTTGATACCAAATGTGTGAGCTACAGTCTGCAGACCACTGGGTGTCCAGAGGTTCCATTCCAATCTGATACTAACACCTGGAGTTAGCCCAGACCCCCTCAGATCAACACCCCTCCAGCAGGCTGCTCCCATCTCAGGTGCCAGCTGCAACAGTGGGTCCCTAAGTTACCATGCTGCTGTCTGACCTGGCTAGAGGTGCCACAACCTCCCTTCATATTTGGGAATTTGCTACAACAGCTGGGTGAATGCAGGGACATTCTCCACTTACTATTGCCAGTTATCATAAAGGATGCTATGAAGGATACAAGGGAAACCCAGCTGAGAGACAGCAGACACAGTCCAGAAGGCTCCCCAGCACAGGTCCCCAACCACAGGGTTGCCCCATGTGGACGTGTTCACCAGCAGGGGGGGCGGTTCTGCACCCATCACTGAGCCGTTATGGAGGCTGCATTGCATGGGCATGGTTGATTGGCTGATCACCCTCAGCCCCTCTCTCCTCCCTGCCGGTCAGAGGATGAGGTGGAGAGTCTCAGCCTTCCAATCACCCCGTTGCTTCCTTTGGCAACATCTCCACATCCCCAAGTCACCTCATCAGCATAAACTCAGGCAAAGTGGAAGGGGCTCCTTGTGAGTCACAAAAGATGCTCCTGCCCCCAGTACCACCCAGGCAGTGCCAGGGGCCAGGAACCAGGTTGAAGACAGAGTGTGCATGCCTTATTGTACACAGGATCCCTGGAGGTGAGGGGGAGATGGTCTTGCAGCCAATGCTCGCAAGCTGGGCTCCGCTCACGTTCCGGGAGCATCACAGAGGCCAGTTAGGATCCTCCTGGATCAGTGGCAGTTTAAGCCTGATTTTTATTTTTTTGGTACCAGGGATTGAACCCAGGGATAGTTTACCTCTGAGCCACATCCTCAGCCCTTCTATTGTTTTATTTTCAACCAGGGTCTCACTAAGTTTGCTTAGGGCCTTGCTAAGTTGCTGAGGCTGGTCTTGAGCTTGTGATCCTCCAGCCTCAYGCTCCTGAATTCCTGGGATTAYGGGAATGTGCCACCRTACCCAGTCAGTTGGAGCCTGTGAGCATCTGGATGAGCATACGGTGCCCAGAATTCCATCACGCAGCCAGCCCTGACAGAGACAGGCACCTTCCACAAATCTGTAAAAATAAATAAGGGTACTCAATCGCCTAGAGGAGCTGTCAGGGGCTGAGTGCAGGGTAAAGCCCTGACCCCGTGTGACGGCATTAGGAGGTGGGCCCTTGATGGCCATTTGGCTTGGATGAGGCCATGAGGGTGGATCCCCAGGATGGGATTGGGATCCTTAGAAGAAGGGGAAGACACACCAGAGGGTTGGGGGCTCTCTCCCCTCCCCTCTCTCTCTTCCCCCTCACCAAAGCCCAGCCACACTTGATTATGTACCTCCCCACACCCCAGAACTGCTCTTCAGGTCACCCAGTCTATGACATGTCACTGCAGCCTGAGCTGACGGAGACAGATGCACAAAGGCCAGACGGACTCCTGAGCGGGGAGCTGGGAGTGGAGCCAGGCAGGTAGGGAGACTGTAGCAGACCCAGCCCGCAGGAACCTCTGTGCTCCTCCTCCTCCTCTGGGCACCCTGACCACAGAGCAGCCACTGTTTCCAGCAATGGCCAGTCAGCGTGCCACTCTGAGAGATCTGGGAATGACATTCATGACTCATGATCCAGAATAGGCACAGTGACTGTGGCAAGCCTGCTCTGGACTTCAGCTCTGGTCAAGGACAAGGATGTGCCACAAGGTGGCGGTAATGCACTACGAGTTTATTTGGATGAGCCTTGATGGGTTTGCAGAAGGGAAGTCCCTCCGGATGCCTAGGGGACAGCAAGGGGKGACCAGAACTCCAAAGGGTGGCAAAGACCTGGGGTCTTTCCCAGCCTCAGGGTTTGGCTTGCAGGTGTTGAATGTGCTTTTGTGGGCGGTGCAAAGCAGGTAAGCTCCGACTGTCTAAAAATCTGCTTCCTTGGGCTGCATTTGAAACAACTGGAGCCAAGGGGAAGTGGTGCTCTCCTGTAATCCTGGAGACTTGAGAAGGCAGATTCAAGAGGATCAGAAGTTGGAGGCCAGCCTCAGCAACTTAGTGAAACCCTGTTTCAAAAAAACTAAAAAGGGTTCAGTGGTAAAGTGCCCCAGAGTTCAATCCCCAGTAACAAGATGATAACAATAATAATATTTGTAAAATAATAAAACAACTGGATGTACAGAAATTTGAGCTTGGCCCCATGAGAGTTTGAGCCAATGGAAACAGCATGACTAGCATCAACCCAGCAAGGAGGATGGAAGGAAGATACTGTACCAGAGACCTCGGGCTCATCACCAGTACCTGACACACTCTGAGCACGTGCAGGTGACAAGTAAAGAAATAGCTGCCTCGAGAGCCACAGGTTGTTTTGCAGATGTGAATTGTGAATTGTTCCCCTCTCTCTTCCTTATTTAAAAGCAAAAGTGATAAAGGAGGCGAAAACCAACAAAACTCAGAAATCTCCACTCAATACATTCTTGTGTTGAGAAGTAGCCATGGAGAAAACAACTCTGACCACACGGACTTGAATCCTGGGCTGACYTCCCGGATTAGAGGGCTGTTGGTGACGTCAGGAATAAAAGATGTGGATTCAGTGCACAGGCAGATGAATGCATAGTGCATTGACTAATTAGCCAACAGTTCAGTGGGTCAATAGATTGATTAATGCAGGGATGGAGGGATGGAAGAATGAATGAGGGAAATGGGAGAATAGAGAGGTGTAGAAATGACAGAAAGCAAGAAGAGGTGGGTGGTGGCTACAAATGAGCGCCCACGATAGGTGTGAGTGGACAGCAGCTGCGTGGTGGAGTGAGCGAGCGGAGGACGCCAGGTGAAGTCGCACCAGGTGAAGTCGCACCAGGATCGCCTCCCTGATGTGCCTCCGACTTCCTATGGTGTCAGGGGACTTCACCACACTGCTCTTTTCCACAATTTTTCATCTACAAAGAGGGAAGACTGGGTTTGATGACCCTGAAGCCCCATCCAAGGCTGCTCCCTTCATTCTCTCTTTTTTTATATTTATTTTTTAGWTTTAGTTGGACATGATACCTTTATTTTCTATAYGGTGCTGAGGATCGAACCTAGGATCCTGCACGTGCTAGGCAAGTGCTCTACCRCTGAGYCAYMACCCCAGCCCCTTCATCTCTCTTGATGTCCCAYATCCACCTGTGTCAGGGAGCTTTGCCCTGGATGAACCTTGCCAGGGTCCCACATGGGTACCAAGGACAAACCCAGAAGGTCCAGCGGACACCTTTGCAGCATGTCAGTGCACCCAGGTAGCCAGTCTGACTTCAAAGCTCAGTTCTGCTTGATCTCACATTTGAACAYCCTAATCTTGCCCACTAAGACAACTCAGTTGTAAAAATAACACTATTTTATATGGTCTGTGCACATTATAAACTTCTCAGTCTTTATGCACAATGTGGTATAGGTTAGTTTCTAAAAGAAAAGAACACAGCAACAAATGTGGCTCATGCTTCCTGAGACCATGAGCATGTTTAGTGTGGTCCTAAAGGCATTTTTAATAAGAAAGAGTAAGTCAGTGTGCATCTGCACAGAAGCAAGTGTTGCTTTATGAATGTTAGTACATGTGTGGGGGTGTGTACACAGTTACATGTAAATTTTACTTATCGTGTGTAGAAAAAGGAGCAGAGAAGTGAAAGCTGCTCACCTAAGGTTGGAAACACACGTCATCTGTTTAACTCTCTCTAGAGCTGACACGGTAGATATGTTCAGTCCCCCCTTTCACAGAGGAAAATTCAGAAGGCTTGATAAACTGCACAAGGTGACAGCCGGCAGAACTGGGGCTGTCCAAGAGCTGAAAGTTACAGTCTTCTCCATTAACTGGGAAAAARAGGAGGAAGTTGGAAAACATAATAAAAAATARAGTCTGTGCTCCACCACAGAAGTCAAGATGGGAATGCATGAACATTGAGTGGTGAGAACGGCTTGGAGACAGAATCTGGATTCCTGGAGATGAGAACAGCGTCAAGGTTGGCCAGAGAAAGATAGAAGTTAAATGAAAAAATCCAGGAGAAATTGCGCAGGTCAGCCAGGCCTTGGGGAGGGAGAGAGAGAAAACAAGGAAAGGGAACAGGCTGCAAGAGGAAGGGTGTGTGTGTGTGTGTGTGTGTGTGTGTGTGTGTGTGTGTGTGTGTTTTAACCACTACTGCAGCCAAGAGTACAGTGGGAAACTGAGGGAGTAAAGATCAGCGACCAGGTCCAAGCTCTACTGCGCATGCACCACTTGCTCTTGCCTGGCAAAGGAGCTGACTTTAACGACGATGACGGTGGTGGTGGTCAAGGAGATCACTGCAAATGAAGCTATAACTAGGGTAGAAGCTCTGCTTGGTCTCCTCTAAGTCTACTTTTGGGGGAAGGTCTGAACAGTTTGGAAGGGATTTGCTTGGCACTCAAGGGTGCCACCAAAGGAGATAAAGAATTGCTTAAAAATCGAGATGGAGCAGTGCAAAGGAAAACTTCAATCRGGTCTTGCAAGCCTGGTAGAAATTACAATAGCTAACATTTATTGAGCATTTACTACAGGCTACTCACAGTTTCTAAACACTTTTGGGGAGGAACTATTCACTCAATCGGACGATAATCTGYGGTGTGGTGTTATCAACGTGCCCATTTTACAATAAAAGAAACCAAGGTTTGAAGAAGGTGGCAGGACACAAAGGTGAAGGATGGCTAAGTGGGGCTGAACCTGGGGGRCTGGGGGGCTCCAGTAGGGGCTGTCCGGCTCCAGGGATACCAGTGTCTGCGCTGCTCTGCAGGAATTCTTCTGACCCCCTAGGGCAAGGCCTGGTCGAGGGCACTGCTCCTGCTGCAACAGTCCAAAACGACCAGCACACCCAGGGTGGCGAGGACCAAGCCCGCCAGCCCCAGGCGGATGAGGTTCCCCTGGGTGTAGTCCAAGGAGCTGGAGTCTGCAGGCCAAGGAGAGGGAGATGGGCTGTCAGCTCCAGACCCCCAAATGGGCTCTAACTCCTGGGGTGGAGCTGAGGACCCAAGTCTCAAAATTGGGCAGGGCAGATGGGAGAACCAGGCCTCAGACTCCGGGTCTGAGGGAGGAGGGCTGGGCTTGGGGCCCTGGATCTGAGGGAGGAGGGCTGGCGTCAGGTCCTTAGGTCCTGGGGAGAAGGGCTGAAGCCACTCCCCAGGTTCCAGAGGAGGAGAGCTGGAGTGTGTCCCCGGGTCCCAAGGAGGAGGGCTGGGATCGGCCCCTAGGTCCCGGGCGCCTCACCGTCAGAGCTGACGACCAGCGGCTCGCTGCGCGGCGACAGCACGTAGGGGGCCGAGGGCGTGTGGTAGTAGCAGCTGTAGGTGCCGGGCGCCCGGGCGCCGAGCAGCGGGAAGTCGGCCCAGCGCTGCGCCGAGTCGCGGTACTGCAGCGGCGCCGCCAGGCCCACGCGGTACAGCGCGAAGCTCATGCCCGGCAGGCGGCCCGCGCAGCGCAGGCTCACGTTGGCACCGGGCGCCACCACCGGCCCGGGCAGCGCCACCAGCGACGGCCGCGGCAGTAGGTCTGCGGGGGGGGGGGGGGGGGGGGG